ATCCATGAAACAGCGAGGCCGCGAAAGGTGAACCGCGTTATAGCGAGGGACGACTGTACTGTAAAGACATAATTTTGCCTCTGCTGACCTGCAGAGTGCACCTTCTAATCATTTTATTACTCCCTCTGTTCTGGTTTCAGTCCCACTACCACCCTTTTAGTAACAACACTGACTTAAGTAAAGATGCAAAGTATATTAGTTACCATCAGTGCCCGCTCTTTATGTGATGCCACTTTCGTTTGGGTTTTGACATTTCTACTCTCAGCTTTTGAGTTGTGATGTTGTATGTCTCCTTTTCCTGTGTTGACTCACAGTTTCAAGTGGAGGACACAGACGCCAGCTCTCCTCCCATGTGTCTCAAGTGGGAAGTTCTTCTGAACGTTTTCAAGGAACCAGTTAAAGACCCTTCGGGGACTTTCCCCATGAACGGCTTTTTATAAGATTGGTTTTGTGGCAGGTTTCAAGCTCAATAAAGAGAATAATTTGTGTGCCCTCTGCTCCCTGAAGATGTTTGCATATTCCCGGTTAAAATAATAAAAGATGGATGACATCCATAGCGCCATGGCAGCTCACTGTCGATCTTTTCTGGCCTACTGAGCCTTTTTAAAAACAAAAACAACAACATCTGACAGTGACGGAGGCGCTGAGTCTGGTTTTCATATCCTGGCGCATATAGAATTTTTCTTGGATGCTCTTAGTTGCACAGAACCATCTGGGTCATATTTTTCTTGACAGATTGAAATAAAGTAACGGCTTTTTTTAACGGCTTCTTAGGTTTCCATTAAAAGTCATCATTCATTAAATGCAAGTCATCTTAAATTATCTGTTTGGAAGCTGTCCCTGAAAACCTTAAGGCCTTTGTTCCTCGCAATATACTGCTGTTCATTTCTACATATTTTAAAAAAAAAAAAAGAGGGAAATAGGTGACGTGACTTAATAAAGGAGAATAAAAACTTTACTTCGGTTTAAATTTTAATTCCAATAAATGTATTCTGCTTGAAGCATATAAGCAGAAAATGAGCAGAGAAAAAGAAAGAAAAATATCTCTATTTTCTCTTGTCTCTATTACAAACTTTGCCTTATAACAGAGAATGAGTGCACTCAGGGGTGGAACCCTAAAAATCGGTTGTATTGGCTCAACGTGGGGAAAAGAATCCCAATTTCTATTGTGGGCTTCAGTAGATTTTTTCCATGTACAGGCTGTGATCAGCTGATCTGGGCTACTGCTGCTCTGAGGTTTACTCCTCTTTGAGGATTCACACAACGGCATTCAACAAATGTAAGCAGGTGTTTTATGAGTTGTCCTGTTTATGCTCTCTTTATACTGAAGGTGGAATTCAATAAATAAATCTAAGTATCATCAGCTTAACATTTAAATTCCTGTCTTTCTTATCTTTCTCCATCTCTGAGTGAAGTTAGCTCTTTCTTTCCTCTCCCTGTGAAAAACTAGCAACACACTGGGAGACAAACACACATTATTACTGAAAACTTCACTGCATTTGAAATTACCTTTTATTTAAAGAGCATTACCCCTCAGCCCTCTTTTGTAGCACTACCTACATGCTGAAATAAATACTCGTGGGCATCTGCAATTTTTTGAACCAGAAATGTTTCATTGGGATTCATTACTCCATCAGACCTGTTGCCACCAATTTTCAGTCCAGTTCTTGTGTACCTTTACGTACCACAGCTAGTAACAAAATGCCTAAAGACACAATTTAAAATCATGCTTTGCTAAGTTGAGCTGTTATTTGTAGACACAGCATCGGTTCATACACTCAGTGCCTTTTTATGCTTGAACAATTCATGAGTCAGTGTTAAACGGCTTGCAAACAATAACATCAAGAACCTGTACCTGACCATTGTCAGAGGGAAATGATCAGGTACAAGGACTGAACTAAAAATGAGTGAAAGAGCAGCCAAAGAGCCAAAGAAAAAACTGAAACAGCTCCAGAAACCCTGGAGGAAAAAGAGAATCTGGCTACCAGGAAAAACAATACAGAGAAATGAAGGGTGTCTTAAGAACTGCACAGTCCTGTCAATCATCTTGCATAAGAGTCAAGAATTATCTGCTTAAGCAACTCCAAAAGAGACAAACTGTCATGGAAACTCAAAACATTTAGGTAAGTATGTGTTTTTTTAAGATCTGCTTGATTGATTGATTTCTTTGAACTCTTGAGCTCATAATGTGCTCAAGTTGAAATATCTTTGCTCGCTATACAACTCAGCACAAACTGCAACAGAACTGTGAGCATCGATTACCTATTAGAAGATAATCAGTTGCAGGATCTCCCCACAGACCTTTCAGAGCTCGGAGGCCACGGTTTTTAAGGGGAGGGGTTGGTGATTGAATGGATTTTAAGCAACAATAGAGTCTCTCTGATAATAAAACGCTTTATCAGACTCATTATTCACCAAGTCAAAGATTTTATTGTGGCTGTATTAACATGTGGATGCCAGATGAAGCTCTTATTATGTACATGAGACTGAAAATGTAGCTCGTGTCTTATAAATGTATCCATGGGTTTAACGCTTTCTTTATAACCAGCGGGCACACAGGGAGTATAAGTCACAAAGTACAGCTAAATATATATTTTGATAAAGTCCTGACCAAGAATCCCCACCAAGCAGACAAACACATATCTACTGCAGCTATATAAGAGTGCAATATGGAGCTTAAGCCCAAGCTGCTGCCTTTCATTTCTGACTCGCTTTGTCAGCATGGAAAGGAGATATTGTTACATGTCCTTTAAATCCGCTGCCAATCATTTTAAACACGTTTCAAATTAAAAGCTTCTTTGATATTATGACTGAACTTTCTTCCTTCGTGAAGTGTTGTTGTATAATAATTGAATGTCACGTACAGTTTCAGATTGCAGGTTTCCGTCGTGTGTGCTTTCTTCAACCTACAAAAGGCAAGGTTCACTGAAGAAGTTTGAACTTTTTATTTATACTAAAAGCTTCGTTTAATGTGCTGCCTTCACTGCATTCATCCAGCTCATTGTATCACTTTCAAAATGCAAACACAAGTTCTGTCATATGCTGTAAATGAAATCTAAACATTTTGACTTGAGCTACAGTTAATAAAACTTAACTAAAGTGATAAAAACGTCAAATTCCACCCATGAACATATCACCATGTTAAATTTATATCCTCGTTCATGTCTCAAGGCTTCAGGGGAAGGCAACAGGAATACAATTAGATAAATTCCACATGGACAAAGTTATCACATAAAAACATCCGTCACAGGTTGCCAGTCTGTGTTCTGTCTCACAGCTTAATCATGTTCTCTAAATTCAGCTCTTGGACTTCAGATAAAATCCAAATAAAGACACACTAGTAACTTCTTTCAGATTATTAGTAACAACATTTCATCCTGTTACATGTGCATGAATAAATCTGCTCTCTTTATGTTGTGAAGTGGCTAATAAATGTTTTTTCTATTTGCGTAAGAGCCGTTATCTTATTTTTTTATATATATATATAAAGGCAGAACAAATCTATTTGTTTAAAGTGAATAAAGGGACCCCGTCGGTCACTGTGGTTTGAAGGCGCTGAGACAAAGTGGGGTGTGTACCATGCGTGTGTGAGCCTGCCTCCTTAATATATTAAAGTTGGAGAGGAGTGAGAAGCGGACACAGAGAACAGGCCAGCCAAGTAACAGGTTGGGTTTGAAGGCTTCAGCTGGCATCGCAACACAAGGAAGGCCTTTCCCGTCAGGGGTCCTGTGTGTCAAGAGGGAGATGAAGCTTAGAGTCGGCATGAAGCTGGCACTGCTGTGTCTGTGCATTGTGCAGCTGGCCTTCGGAAGTCGTCGAATCAACGACCGTGAAGCCGCTGCCCGCGGGGATGTGCCGCTGAGGAAGGCCTCTCATGGCACAGGTGAGTGCGTGGGATAACACTTTATAATTTACCACGAGGTCGCTGCTGGTTTACAAGCCAGCAGAAACAGCAGACTGTAATAATGGCTGGACCTCATTAAAGTAATAACCGATAACTTCGTTTTTGGCTATTATAAAAATTAAAAATAATAACACAAAATAAATCAAATGTATTTATTTAAAAAGAATTGCACAAGTCTGCTGTACAGGGTGAGGGACAAAAAGTACCGTATAGTAGGACTGATGTAATACCACCTTAAGTGGCCACCTTTATATCACGCTGCTGTTGTGCGCTTAAACAGTCTCAGAGTAAAGCTGGGGGTGGTTTAAATGTGATTTGTCAGGATGAATTGATAAGAAAAAAAAATGGCGTTGCTGAAATTAACCTGCAGTCTCACATAATGTGAGGATTAGTGTGAGTCCTGGGAGTGCTTAGAGGATATGGGACAGCTGCTGGGTTCATTTTGATGTCACATTTGTGACATAAATGTGTTACAAATGGTGGTGAGACACCAAGTTTCATGAACAGAACAGAACATTTGTGTCTTTCTATCTTTTTGGCTGTGTTCATCCCTGAAGTCAAAACAGCCTTTAGTAAAGCAGAGGTGGGGAATTAATTTTCCCAGTGGCCCACGTGAGAAACCGGGGCCTTTATAAACTTATAAAGAGATTAAAAAAATAATAATAATATTGAGCAAAACTGAGTTCAGCTGATTGATGTGGCCCTCAGATACCGGAAAGTTCTACTTGAGCACAGAAGTATGTGTACTTCGTTACCTCCCACCTCTGATGGTATTGCACAGTGAAACAAATAGTACTTTCATTTGATTCCCCATTGGGAAAATGAATTGCACATGCCTGCTTTAAAGGCTGTAAAAAGCACTCACTTTATATGTGTCTTGATCTCCGAGCCATTATCCTCTGTAAACGACACCTTGGTATATGAAATGGCTCTGAATACGCTATCCTACACACAGTGCGATCAAACCTTTACCCACCACCACTTCTGTGCTGTATTTCCACACACTCCAAAGCTGACTGTAAAAATTCAATTGTCTGCACATAGTTAAAGCAGCAAAGAGCATGACAAGCATATTTAGTAGCAGTGGGGACGTGTCACTTTCTGATATATCACTTAGGTCAGATTTACAAGTGTTTAAAGTTAGAGTATTTGAGTTCGCTATCTTTTTTATTGTGACTGATTTATGTTCGTTCAGATTTACTGCTGTGTAATTTTAGCAAAGTTAGACAAGTCTTACTGTTAACTGCAGAAGTGCGCTCTGCTAGGATTACAGTCGGGGATCAAAGCACCACCAAACGTTTTCCACTTAAAGAGTTTAAAGGGTGTTTAAAACGTCAGGCATCTCCCATGATTCATCAGCACAACATGAGCCGCAGAGGAGGAGGCTCGTAGCGCATAACGGTACAGCTGGCATCACCTATGAAAGCGTATATCAACATGACAACACTTTATGGGAGTCTTCAATAATAATAACAATAATATTAATCTTATTTGCGCAATTTCCTGCTGCTTGATCAAGTTTTAATATCAAGTGGTTAAAGCATTTTGTTTTTGGGGGGTTATACATTTTACATCCGTGTTATTATTCATGTTATTAAAACATAAATCAGGATTTCACATAAGAAGGGGAAGACACGCGGCAGTAAAAGCTCCGGGCACCTCTATCACCTGTCTAGAACTGACAGCTTGTGGGCGAATAAATCACCTTGTCAGTCTCAGAGTTTCCTGCTAAGCAGGGTGTGAGGTTGCTGCGGCTGCTTATCTATAGAGATCCACCAGTGTCTAGGCAAATCTTGTCTCATCTATTTGAGGAGTGATTTATTACTGCCATAAAATTATATGAGCTGCAAATTGAGAGTTGACCTGTCTCTATAGCAGTATACATTCATGCACTGTCATATACCCCTGGTGTGAACCGTTTTACATTTTTTCAGCAGTCTCAGATATGTGACCTCGGGCCTATGTCACTAAATGTTTTCAGTTACAGTTTTGGAGGAATCTATAGGCCTGCCTGCTCAGCTCTTGGGTATCCAGATATCTCGTGCGTGTGTGTCTAATTAAATAAATCAGAGATGATTTGCAGCTCTTTAGTGGGAAAAAGATTTAGACGTCTAACTTAGAGGATCACATTGAGGCCCTCTGGTGGCCAAAGAGGTGACAAATTACATGGATTAAAACAAATTTACAGAATATTTTTTATCTCATATGATATTAATAAAACCAGATTTATTTTCTATGTTGATATATTTTTTCCCGAGGTGCCCTAATCCTCATCTGTAGCTTTGCCGTTAACAGTAACTTTGCTGCGCCAGTGCTTCGTGACTTAAACAAATGATTATAAAAATGCACTTTGTGTGACATGAAACAAACTCTAGAAGTTGTACTTTCATTTATGTGCGTACATTTTGATTCTATTGTATTATTTTACTCTTTTCTGAACAAAAAACTTGCCTTTTTCCTGATTCAGAACTTTAAAAAAATCAACAATTTAAAGAAACGTTTGTTGATCAGAGTTCATCATCAAGTCAGTTAAACTTTGGGGATATTGATGTGTTGAGTTAAGTAGCAGAGGGGCATTGTTCATCAGTTTTTGCTGATTTGGTGTTAAGGAAATTAACAACAGGTGCACTACAGGGGCAAAAATGAGACAACCCTCAAAACAGGAAAGTAAAGAGAAGGTTTGTTGATCTTCTTAAGTAAGAAAATAGTTTGATGTTGTTTCAACAGGGTCTACGAATGGAATCAGGGTGAGGCCTCTGTTTGCCAGGAGAGGACATTATGAACGACAGAGGATTCTTGTGCCAGTAAGTTCAAGATCTGTGCTGTTAATCTGTAAGTCTAACAAAACATATACATGTTCATGTTTTAGTCATACATGATTTCAATCAATCCTTAAAATGGTCAAAAATGTTTAGCATTTACTGTGTGCTGTGGGTACCCACAGTCAAAGCTTTCAGTCTTTGGAGGCAGTATTACTATAAGGATCCAGAGGAGTCAGATGGCTTTTCTGATGCTCTCGCCATCTGTTTTGTTTTTCTCCCCACCTCACAGAAGCCCAGAGGCGGTCCTGCTGCTCAAAATGAGATTTGTCCTCCTGCTAAAGTGAGGCCAAATCCTGTGAAGATCAAATGCTCCCAGCTCGCTCAAAGCTGTTTGCCTCAGTCCGGTTGCTGTGACTCGTGTGCAACATGCCACTGCCGCTTCTTCAATGTCATCTGCTTCTGTCGCAAGACAAAATCGCAATCTGAGAAAAACAGACAAAAGGAAACACCCCATCACATCACATCAGAGACGAAAAGTCCAACACACGCTACAGGCCATTGATCCTGCTACAGTGGTATCACACCAACCACTTCAATAGTGATAAAATGACAGGCACATGTCACAGTGCCAGCATCTTGAGTCAGTAAACAGATTTACTACAGTCTACATGACTTTGGTACCTCGTATGAAAGGCAGCTGCTTCAACAAATTATTCATCCTAAACATTTATGTTAATGTGAATTTCTACAAATAACCTAGAATGCATATTATTTTGTTTGTAATATCAATTACATTGTTGTTGCATTTTACCTTTAAAAAACAGAGCCTGGTGAATGTATACATGTGTTATTGTTGGTGCCGGTTTTTTGGTAATATTAATACGAATATTACGTTCACAGAATTGCATGAGAAAGCTTTATCTCATTAAAGACTATTCATTTTTTAATCAAGTTTTCACAGTAATCGGTGAGTTATTTAACAACAAGGTTACAGCAGAAACTGAGAAAATGTTTTTACAACCATCTATTGTCCAGATGGTTGTGGAGAAAACCTAACATAGGACATGTAAGAAAGCTGTCCTTCAAAATAAAACAGGAAGTAATCAAAGGAGACTCATACAGGTATGAATACTAACAGATTTTCAATCACAAAAAACTCTGAAACAATAAAACAACACAAAAAATTAACTAATGCTCAAATATATTAACTAAGAATAAAAAACTAGAAAACTAAGCCTCACACAACGACACTGCTGTGATAGTTATCCTAAATTTGTGTCATATCCTGAATTTATCAATTTGCTTTCTCTACAATTTTTCATTTTTTATGTTTTTTATTTTTATTTTGCAGTCAGCCACGGCTTATACACCTAGAACAGGATTCAGAGATATGCATTCGGTTTAGGAATCCAGCAACCAGACCAGACAGACAGGCCGAAGTAGCTATTTAGCTACTATAGCTATTTATAGGCATATTAGAACAATGTTTGTAGCCCAGTTAAACAAATACTTCATCCCTGCTACAGAGGAGGGAGGAGCAGTTGGTAGCTTTCTGAAGCAGATGCACGGCCATGCAGTACTCTTCTTCCAAACCAGCCAACTGTATTGCCAACTGCCAATTAGGCAGTTTGTTTGCCATATTAGTGTCCTGCTGCTCAATGTACTCAAAGGAGAACCCGTCATTAGATCATTAACAGCAGGAAAAGCAAAAACATGAATGTTTCACACAATAAGAGCAGGAAAAACGATATTAACAGCAGCTTTCTGTAGGCATGTGGTCATTAGAATCAATAATTGCTCAGCAATTTCCCTTTCATGAAGGGAGATCACTGCATCATGGGGAGTTATGGGAGACAACTCCCCATGATGCAGTGCAACATGAGTTAGACTGTGTGGGTGAGTTGAAGGGACAGGAAGCAATTGCAGATAGGCAATATGTTTATAATATACAATTGCTGTGGGTAACTATGCCTTTAGGAGCAAGGAGATAATATTTAACCCCAGAGCAGCTCAAGCTGATGGACGAGGCACAAAGTGATCAGTATTGGTTATTTACAGAATTCCTAGCTGGTCTCTTGATCAGCTGAATTTGATGAGCTGAAGTAACTTGTGGTCTTGTTCATGGGCAGGGGGCGAGTGGCGCAGGAGATTGACAGACAGGCTGTAATATCATCTGATGTAATCTCGCTGCTCTATTGGTCTGTTGTGATAAAGAAAGAGCTGAGCGTTAATGCAAAGCTGTCACATTACTAAACAATGCATTCCTACCCTCAACTATAGCCACAAACTACAGATACTACCAGAAAGAATATAATCTTGGATACAATGTACAGAAATGAACTTCCTCTGAAGGGTATCTCGTTCACGGTTAGAGAGAGGACAAAGATTTTGGTTAATTGTGAGGGGCTCAGAGCTGCTGTACCTCCACATTTCAAAGAGCCAGTTGATGTGGTTCAGATATCAGACCAGGATGTCTGGACTATCTATATACTATACACTGGAGCGATTATGTGTCTCCCTCGTGAAGAGGTGTAGATGGTGGCTAGGGGGAGGGTCTGGGTATCTGTGCTTAGATCCAGAGAAGTAACAGAGGATGAAGATGGATGGATGGATGGATGGATGGATGGATGGATGGATGGATGGATGATATCTGATATCCCTTCAAAAATCACATTCACATTATCAATAGAAACACAGATCCACTGCCATAAATGCCCATGCCATAAGTTCACCAGATGATATGAAAGTTAATGTGATATGCTGCAGATCATGAGTTGTTTCCCTCTGTCTCCGTGCTTTGCTTCTCCTGCCATTCTGCTACAAGTTAAGCTGTTTTTCTTCTGTACAAATATTTTTTGTCCAAACTGTGCACTCATTTAGATGTTTTCTGACAAAGGTCAAACTGTCCTTCTTGAGTGTAACCAGGCGTTTGCACTTTGTGATAAATCCTATACATATCTCCAATCAGGAAATTGCCTCTTGATTGTAGATCAAGTTTTCTTAGATTGCTTAGCTTACCCTGTCAAGTTCACATGGGTTCACCTTTTCTGGAACTGCATATTTTGTTGTCTGTTGAAAATAAGTGCAGTGGCGTGCATCCAGGAACATTTCCATGTTCTGAGGAATTATTTATTTCATTATTTTTGTGGGCCCAGTATAACAATGCAGTTGTGAGGACAAAAAAGGTTTAGAGAATGGTTGTCAAACATATGGCTCCTGTTGTAAAATTAACTGTCTTTCACAGTGTGATGATGGCAACAATTTGTTGGAAACATAAAGTTGTTAAAACGCTTTTTTTTATTCTTTTTTTTTCCAAACTATTACACGTGTGAGGTTTTTGTGCCTTTGTGGCACCGCTGTGCTCTTTTAGTGATAATGTGTGTAATGACAGTAGACTGACTAAATGCATTAAAAAATTTACATTAATCAAATTTTAAGAGTGTAAAACCTTTTTTAAAAGACTTCACTTTTTATTAACAGTTGTGTAAATGTATGATTCATTCAAGTTTTAAGACTGCAGTTGTTCTTGTCCATCCATCCATCTTCATCCGCTTTAACCGAGGCCGGGTCGCGGGGGCAGCAGCCTAAGCAAAGAGGCCCAGACCTCCCTCTCCCCAGCCACCTCCTCCAGCTTATCCGGGGAAACACCAAGGCGTTCCCAGGCCAGCCGAGAGATATAATCTCTCCAGCGTGTCCTGGGTCTGCCCCGGGGCCTCCTCCCGGTGGGACATGGCCGGAACACCTCACCCAGGAGGCATCCTTGTCAGATGCCCGAACCAACTCAGCTGGCTCCTTTCGATGTTGTTGACTAAAAGTCATTTTTTAAATAGGTTAGACAGTGATTTTACTCACTGAGCCATTTGCGATATTTTTTTTATGTATTTCATTTAAACTGACGTACCCACCTGCAAATAATTCATGCAAGGTTACAGAGTTTTCTGTGGCCTGATCTCTGGCCTCTAGCTCACCAACAAATGAGGGTCACAAATGTAGTAACCCTGGAAGGTTTTGGACCTGTCATTGTAATAAGTCTCCATTATTTTTTGCAGACTGAGATGAGCTGTTCGCTTGAGAGATGGATGTGTGATGATGACAGCTCTGATGATTCTCAGTCCATCATAACATCATTTATTCAGTTTAAATGTCATCCACACCAGGAGTCCAGCATGCACCATACCAGGACCACACAATTTAATAACAGTGTCATCAATTACATCTGCACTCTTCCTGGAATTACACCCATCTGCCTGCCACAGAACCGCAGTTTTTATCTCAGGATTATTTGTTAGTTAGTCAATCATTTTAAGCTCAAAAGCATCCCCTTGACTCAAATGCTATTCTAAATTAGGAAATAGATAATTAGGATTTTTACTTCCATGTGCCTACTAACAAAAAACAGTACAGACTGAGGTTTATTATAATAGTTGATCAATAATACTGGGCGACCACCAACACAATATCATCTTTAATAATAATTCTGAAAACTGATAAAAGTTGTTTGGCAAAAAAAAAACCCCCACACCCCTTCAGGTTCATGTCCTCCAAATACTTCCTTAAAAAAGAAATTGTAAAAACTTAAACACTGAGACGTATTTTTTAATTCAAACTTTTATTTTTAGCCAAATGAAGAATCTTTTTTCCAAAAGTAACTTCCCCACTAATTTAGGTCCTGTATCTTTATTTTAATTCATGTCTACATTTTGGAGTTCAAGGCTTTCAAAACTTCCTTTTACCATAATTTTAAAGGCAGCCTTGCTTTAATTTGCTTTAAAATGTTAATATTGACTACATTATTTGACATTATTTGCGCAAATTACCAGTTGTAATCTTTGGTATAGACAAAAGGCAACAGATCTTAGGAGAAGACCTGTTATTAAGTGTATTAAGCAGGGTGCTGAGATCTGTCGTCGTTTTAGGTTTGGAGTCAATTCTGCATCATATCAAAAGGGGAATAGTCAATTTAAATCCCAAGAAAACTTTCACAAATCTTGTAACAAATATTCTTAAGAAGAGTCTGAAAATTTGAAATCAGAGACTCCAAGACAAGTGCACATACCAACTAGTTAAACCCACAGAATACTTTTACATCTACTCAAATTTCTGTTGGATAACAAAGCTTTTTAAAAGCCTTTCGGTTTTGTCCCAGTTTACCATCTGTATCTGTGGACTGTTCAAAGTGGGTAACTTCGATACACAAACATAACTGACAAAAGCTTTTATGATTCTTGTATGTGCATTTTGTGTTATCTACCCTGTGAGCTGTTGTTCCTGTATAATGACTGTAAGCTTTTCTGAATTTATTTCATTTTATTGTATTTTATTTTTACTTTTTTGTGCTCCAAACATTTAGTAAAAAAGAGACCTCAATCCCACGAGACGTCCCATTCAACAACCATTACCTCTATGTAAAAGATTACCAGAAACTTTTGATTTTTCCAGACAATTTAATGTAATATTCATTACTATAAGATGTTTTAAATCATCAACCACACACATGAAAAAGAGCAGCAGATCCTCTGAAAACAACACCAGCAAGGGTCTGAAATGTGTCTGTATGTTTCTCTTTAATATGTGGAAAATAAAGTGTTAAATATAAGTCACTGCAGTATTTTTGTTTTGTTTTGTTTTTTACAAAATAAAGCTGGCTCCAAAATCTGGATGTACTCTGTATTTTAAAATGATAAAAAATAAGCATCAGGACACACTGGCAGGAAGAACTAGGCACTGAGCATGTGTGGGGGAAATGTTTCTTCATTGAGGTTTTTAATTTGGAGTGCCCCTTTGCCCCTCTTAAAGCATTATTTGGGGTGGTAGACTCAAGCAGGTTATACATCACGAAGAAGCTCTATCCACAGTGTTTGCAGGAAAAATTCTGCTCCAGTCTAGGAAATCTGAGACAAACCCATTGTTTGATAAGTGGCTGAAAGAATTAGGAAATTTGCTACACCTGGGGAAAAATATGGAAAGTTAGATACAGTATATCAGATAAAATGAGTCTCTTTCAGAAAATCTAGAATCACAAGTTGAAATCAATCTCTAATGGTCTTACAGATCAACAACAAGGCAGGTAAGTAAAGTGAACACTAGTAACACATCAAATCATATATTTTTTCTTCTTTCTTCTAAATATTTGTATTTTCTAAACCTTTAAAACTACAAATATATTTTTAAAAAGTATCAGGTAATAAGAGGTTACATTACATCAACACATTCAGTTACCACAAATCGGCCTAGTTTTCTTTCCTAATGTATCGGTGCCCGACAGATTTATCGGGGACCTGTGTAGGGACGCACACCCCCTACACTATTTCTCTGGTAAAATTGGTTAAGTAAACGGGACTTTCAGTCAACAATGCTTACAACGTTCAGTAACGTGAAACGTAAAAATAAAGAAATTTTGAGATTAAACAAAGAAAGAGTGTTTTAAAAGGAAAAACAAAAGTTTGGATTTTATTAATAAATTGGATAATGACGGACCGAATACTTTAGTTAAGGGTTTCCGTTTAGACTACATAAAAGTAATAAATGTGCAGTGTATAGCAGTAAGCCTGTTTCGTGTTCCGACTTATTACACAGCAGTATTACCCCTTTTCCACTAGTATCTACTGGGGTGGCGCGCCTGTCGCCCGTGTGTTTTGCTAGTCATAGGCTTCTGTACAGAGATGGCAAGAGAGCCGTAGCAGACTGAGGGGCCTGCTCGGCTAAGGATTTTACTGACAACCGTTGCGTTAGCACACAGCCAAGACACAGAGTGTAGGAAAGTAGAGGAACAGCGAGCAAGGTAAAACACCCCTGCTAATGTCACTTAAAGCATTTAGAAAGACTTTCTCCGAGTGTTTAAATAGTATTTCTTGATAAGCCTGTATTTTATATGCAGCCGAACTGGCTAGCTTTGTGATGGCGGACAATTAGCCAAGATGCTAAGTAAGTTAGTCAGATAGCCGGCTAGCGAGCAGCTAACTTGGCTCACCTAGCTAGCGTCTGCTGTAACGTTATAACAATATGCAGATGTAGATTAAGCAAACACGCTACGTTTTTAGTTATGTGCCCATTATCACCCTTTGGTTTGTCAGATGGATATTCTACACACAGTAGAAAGGATAGTCACCTAGCGTTAAGCTACTTTCACAAGACTAAAATTGTTTTGCTTTTTTATCTGTAGCTAGCTGGCTACCTTATTGATAGCTAGCTGTGTAGCTTTAGTTACAGACTAGTACTACTACACATTTAAAGGTTATCACCGGGAGTATCTGCACATATTGTACGTATGTGTGTTGCAAATAGATTTAGGAGGTTAAGTGTCGGAAGGCCAGTAGCTGCCTATTAAGTTACACTTTGTAAGCTAATGCTAGCAGTCAGTAGATTACCCCAAAGTTAGCCGCTGTTCGGTAACTGTACCGGAGTTTGTGTGTTATGATCAGTATTTAATATGTAAATTAAGCATTGCTAGCGTATGGCCTGCGAATTGTGCCTAAGTGGAATCAATCTTCTGCTTTATTACCCATTGATCCATGTGACTGATTACTAAAGATTTTCTCATGAAAGGAAACGATGTGTTACTCTTTAACTTTTAAACGTGTTGACATTTCTAGTCTGGGTGTTTCTCGGGTCGTAGACAGTGCTTAACACAGGTGAATGTGAGCTTGAGCCACAGCTGTTTATTTCAGTGTTGCTCCAACTTGAGTTATCCTATGAATAGTGAGCATAACATGTAACACTTTCAGGGTCTCTAGCTTTAAAGACGAAATTCTGAGCTGAGACAAAGTAAGAGAGACCATATTTATGTGGGCTCCGCTAACACCTGATGAGAATCCCTGTCAGTACTGATTAGGCCTAGTTGCCTTACATTTCCCTTTTCTGGACAGTCTTGGTCTCAGAGAAATGGTCTTTCATGGCTGTGTTTGTTTGAGTGGCTGATGCAGGTTTATGTTTATACAGTATCTGCTATTGTATTTCAGGATTCTTAGTGTCTTGCTGTCTCTCTGTCATGAACCAGTGGTTTAGTATTTGGGATATCACATGCTGTGTATGCTAGTGCCACATTGGAAGGAAATTACTTAGAGAAAAGTGTCTTATTTGTCTGCTGGTTCTAAAATATGCTTGTTTTTGTGCTCTCACTCACTTGCAAAGACACTGAACTTTTGAAAAGCAGGAAAGCAGCTGTGGGTGAAATTAGGAGTTGTAGCCTGCTACCATTGTGTAAAGCTTGTGTGTTTTGCCCATGTGAGAATCTTTTTTTTAAAGTCTGGCAAAATAAAAGAGAGGTGGACTAAAAAAAAAGCTTTTACGGTATGGGGTAGTGTAAGAATAATCACAGTCTCGTTATTTTGGATAAAGATGAGATTTACTGTATTTGTCTTAAAGTTAGGAAATTCCTGCCACATTAGTTAAAAATAAAAATAAACAGAACAAACATAAAAATAACCGAAGTAAGTAATAAATTAAAAAATAACCATGTCAGTCGGTGTCAGGTTAAAAACAATAGGTATTCAGCATCAGGACTTTTAAACATTTAAATATACTTTATAAGCATCTATGCTTCATTCCTGCTCATGGTCTGCCCGGATGTGTTCTATAGACAGCTGTAGTACAGCGGGCATGTGTGTCTATGTATAAACTGTTATGTGCGTCATTAGGTCACAGGAAGACGGACAGTGCATTAGAACAGACAGCAAAGCTTGTTTGACAGGTGGTGTGAGAAAGGATTTGTCTTGGCTTTTTACACACAAAGGTGTACACTTAGAGAAACAAGGGAAGTTGTCTGCTGTCAAGCTGATTTTTTTGTTAGCCAGACTCTCCTTTGAAACCTTTTGATTAAGCAGGAACATGATCAGACAATCTTCACAAAATACAAAATGCACGTCCAGCAGTAAGCACGTTACTCTTGTTTTGTAGGCAAATCTAACCTTGTGCTAACCCTGCTGGCAGCTAGCATATTAAAACAGATAAGTAGTCCTCGAGCAAAACAAAGAAAACTGAATTGAACCTAAGATTAAAGTTCCTGTGTTTTCTATGGTTCTATAGGGTTTTTTTAATAACTGAATCCATCTGGTGTTACCCAAGAATCCAGATCCTACAAATAAAGTATTAATTGTCCCCTAGACTTGCTGTTAAACCCCTCCAAGCAGGTATTGAACAGGTTCAAAACGGGTATCTTTAAACACCATAATCCAAAGTCCTTGGGTGTGTATTAATTGGGCAATTAACAATTTTCAGATTGTCAATATCTCTGAGCTGTTAAAATGTTTAAGTTGTATTTCAGAAAACAAATTTAATTGCAATATTAAATCAGCTATTGAGTTATGATCCTCTTTCAACCCTGGTGATTAGGAGTCAAACACCGCTGTATAAATACCACTCTGTTTCCATATTTCTTGCTCAGAGATGCTGTTTAGTAGTAACCCTCACACGTCCCACTTTAATCAATACCTGACATAACCCCTGACTTGGGCTGTATCTCAGGAGGTAGGGTAGGTCATCTACTGATCAGAAGGTTGGTGGTTCGATCCCTGGCTCCTCCCCTGCATGCCAAATGTCCTTGGGCAAGATATTAACCCCAAGTTGCTCTCCGATGCATCCATTGGATGTGTGTGAATGGTAGTTAGAAAGCACACAAGCACATGTTTGTGTGAATGGGTGAATGTGGCATGTTGTACAGAGTGCTCTGAGTACTCAGAGAGAGCTATATAAGATATATATATATATATATATATATATATATAAATATGTGAATTAAGGGAATAGAATTGGCTTGCATGACTTTTAAAGTAGTCATTGTAAACCACACATGATATGAAAAGCTGATGACTAGTTGATGACTTGGAAGAATGGTTGAATTTCCTCATATACTTATTTAGTATATTTTTCCCAGCTGACTGAGGCTGTAATAGGTTGTGGATTTGCTCTGTGTTACTTGATGGATGCTGTCTTTTGCAAGAAGCTGTGTCTGACTAATGTGCTGACAGTGGTTTAGTGTCCAGAAGCCTTAACATCAGTTGACTCTTCACTAAGCCCCACACGAGCATTATAACTATGGATGGGAGGCTTGTCAGGCCTTTGGAAATGTTGCAGTAACTAAAGTAAATTGTTAGTGGTTGCCACAGATTTGAATTGTATTTGTGGCACACTAAAAATTTATAAGGTGCTACTTGGAAAATGTTTTAAGTACCAACTATTTTGAGACAAATAAATAACAGAGCAGTATAATCAAATGCCTCTCCAGTGAGTCTCTCATCCTACTAGACTCCAACCAACCAGTCTTAATATTTCTTGGGCTGCTCTGCAACCTCAGTGAGCTGAAGGGTTCAGCTCACAGTGGGTCTCCAAGCAGAACAAAGACTCCCGTCTCCAGCTGCAGTCCAACGTGGAGTCTTGGAGTCTGTGTTTACATGATAAGACACTCTGGAGAAACAGTTTAGTGACAGTGGTCTCTGCAGTGATGTGGTCAGTGAGATGGCTGGTAAGAAAACATGAGCTGGGATGTGTGGGGGACCTGAACTTTCAAAATATGGGCAAGGGCATATCTGCTAGTTAACTGATTGCAGATGTAGTCATTGTCTTGTAACAATAAAGAAATAAAGCCAGAATGAGTTGCCAAATATACTTGAGCAGACATAAACGTGCTTAGATGGCCCACCCAAGTTACACAAGATACTCAGCTTTAGTTCTGTTAACCTGAAGCGCTTCAGCACTTAGTGTCCTTACAGTTTGATTATTGTGGTTGAAATAAATGCATATCAAGTTGTAACTATATATTTGTTATCTTAATCAGGTCAGAGGTCAGACCTTTCTACCAGCTAAATCTTATCCTAAAAACCTGTGCTCTTCTGTTTCAGTGGCACCATGGGACACGGAGTAGGCTGAACCGGAGGGTCTAGCAGCACACACCAGTTGTGAGTATACATGATTTTTGTTTTTTTATTTTTCTGGAATTTCTGTGGAGAATTACAGTTATTGGGTACTATTCATATCTGAAGAGATAGAATAATATAAGAATAAAACTGTAACTCCATGTATAAAATAAATAATTCCAAACCATCAACATTTGTGTTTATCTGAAGCACTTTACACTCCACAGAAAGTAAAAGTTCTCCCAAATCTGTCCTGGTACTTCTGTGGCATAGCAAGAGAATGCTGTCTTGTATAATTTGAAGAGAAATATTCTCTTATTAAACCCTGGCCAAGTTTGAATTTTAGATTAGAGTATTTTAAAATTCATTTCCTGTTTCAAGTGTAGCCATAGTTGCGACTGCTTTTGACTCAACATTTCCCTGACTGTGCTGGATTAAAAAAAAAACAAAAACAAAAAAACCCAAACTGCACGGGTAACATGGTCTCGCTTTCTCACTCTGGTGAAAGAGAATATAAACGTGAAGGCTGCTTACAGAGGATGTTGATTAACTTTGAGGCGCTGTTAGCTGGTTAGACCTCAGTTACAAACCTGTCATTCACAATATGCAGCTTTTTTGATTTCTCTATTCTTATTGAGAAATATCGGCACTCACGTTTCTTTTGTGAATTGACTCGGTCATTTGTGTGTAATGTTTGCGGGTTTAAAGGTTTTCCACTGTGGTGTATGACATGGCCACGGCCTCATCTAGAGCAGAGACTAGCCATAACCACAGAGGAACGTCACAACTCTATGCCATTGGTGAGTAAAACACTGTGGGCTACGATGTGTAAAAGTGTCAGTCGCCTCAGGGTGTTGCCACTCCCACAAAAAGCTTATGTTGAAGCACTCTGTGTACATTTTCTATGTGAATACTCATGTATCACACTTTATGACCTAAATGTCAGAGTTAGTGTCACTTTTTCCTGCTGTAAATATAATGTAATTGAGTTTAAATGGTGTCTTTCATTTTCTCTCCATCAGTGTCCTGTGCCAAACTCAAGAGGAAGAAGAGTTCCCTGTTTGGGACTGCCATTTATGTGGAGGTGACAGCTGAGGGGGAGACGCGGCGCACTACAAAATCTCATAGCTCCTCCAATCCTAAATGGGACGAGAGGCTCACTTTGTAAGTGTGCTGTGTACACCTGGCTGACAGCGTTCAACAGGCTGTGTGTTGAAGCATGTCATTTTATTTAATGTCAGTGGCTGTTTCTTTCATCTTTATTTATTTAACAGCTAAGTTTGTGGAGACGAGACACGCGCGCGCACACACACACACACGCGCACGCACGCACGCACGCACGCACGCACGCACACGCACACGCACACACAAGCAAAAAGGTATGACGTTTCCAGAAGCTGTTCTGCAGTATTATGTGTTGACATTAAAAGCTGTTGACAGAGAGTTTCTGTGGTGCTTTGTTTTTTGTTTGGTTCAGCAGTCTTATACAGTATTTAATCCAAGAGTGGTTGTTGAATCTTATTAGGCAATCATAAGAGCAGGAGAACCCTCAGATGGCTGATTTTATAAGTATTAAACTAAGGGAAAAGTTGTATGATAATATACAAAACTCTTTGTATCATTTAAAAGCCCGCAGTTCTTTGAGTGGTCAGACTGGACTAGAAAAGTTCTGTAAATGGTGTTTTTTAATGGAGCCAGCATCCTGAACATGGCAGACGTTTGCAGCTCTCTGGCTTCCGACTGGCTCAGCCATATGTCAGAAGCATGTCGTTGGAAATGCTAATTGGCTTGATGGGGTCATTATTGCTGACAAGACAGAGCGCTACTTGTTTGTGGTCTCGTGTTTACACAATGGGTGTTTTGCAAGCTGTTATGGGTGCTACACAAAGGCTTTAATATTCAGTGTTTTTCTTTAGGCTGATATTCAGAGACCTAAATGTAGTTACTGTGCTGTATAGTGTTCATTTTGAAGATGGAAATCAAAGGGTAGTGGTATCATGTGTGCTTGGTACATTGGTTACCCAGGATAAATAACAAGTTATTGGTGCTCTGAGGGGATGAAGGTGTTGAAAAATAGAGAAACTAGAAGAATGCAAAGCTTCAAAATATTTTTTTTTTCTGTTTGTTGTTATACTTTCCTGAGGTGGGGAATAACTGTTGAGAGGGGGACCTGTTGAATCATAGTTACATGTCATATCAATTCAGTGTGTTCCCTTTGCTCGCCTTACCAATAAGTTTATTCACTGCTTCACACACAAGTGCTTTATAAAAGTTCTAGAGTTGCTCTTAAATCTCAGTGTATTTGAATTATAAGTCTGTGTGAGTATTGCAGAGCGTTTCAACAATAAGAGCCTTTTATTCCTTAGTTGAGTCATCCTAGAGTAAAAAGAAGATTAAAATACTGCCAGTTTTGTTTTTGTTTTTTTAACTTTAAAAAACTAAAAGTACAGTTTTAACTGCTGCTCTTCCTTTTTGTGATAGCATAAATCTATTTGAATTGTTTAAAAAGATTTTGGGGGGAATTTCAAGAATTACACATATTTTGTGCGTGTTTGTTTATGATTCTCTAGGAATGTAACTCCACACACACAGGTGGATTTCAAAGTTTGGAGCCACCACACCCTGAAAGCAGATGCTCTGCTGGGCAAAGCCACGCTGGACCTCACTCGAGCCTTGGAAGACCATGACAGAAAATGTAACTTTTTTGTTACAGAAAGTAGCAAATGATACATGTAGAAAGTGTAGGTTGTAATTTGTCTAACTGTTTAGTAAATATACGGTTAGGACAGCATCAAAACAGGGTTTTTCCCAGCTCAAAAAATGTTTGTATTCAGGAGAAACCCGACAGAAAACCACTTCATTATGGATTGTTTAAATCAGGCTCACTAGTACTATGTGTTGCATGACCCCGATAATATCCTCTAAAGATGCAGAAGCATAGTGTCATGTAATTGTAGGGTTTTTTTTAAACGTTATTTGTAATTATTATTCGCTGTTTCTAATACTATCCTTGCTTTGAATCCACAGTAGAGAATGTGAAGGAAGTGCTGAAGCTGAGTGCGGAGCAGAAGGGGGTGACGGTGCCCATGGGGGAGCTGACTGTGTATCTTGATGGACTCACTGTCACCAACCAGGAGGAACTAGCACCACTTACCAACGGCAATGCACCAAATGGCTCCAGTGAGCTCAGTGTTTATGTCAGGGGTGGGTGATTTATTTTATTTTTTCTTTTTCTAAGGGAGAGGAGGGGCGGAGGGGTCTTTCATCTGTATTAACAGTATGTGAATGGATTGTGCATACAGATTCAGTTGAATGAATTCCCAGCATACATAATCCTGTTATCTCTAGGCTAACATTGGTTTCTTAAATCTTCAGAGGTCCAACAGAATGGTGACGCCATCCATGAAAACGGAGATTCATCTTCCTCATCCTCAAGGGCTGCCAACAGGTAAAACTGAAAAGGCAAACTAACCCTTTTTGGGACATTTTATGTTCGCTCGCATAGTCCCCCCCCCGCGCAAAGCAAATTTCTATCTACTTAAGAATTACTGCTTCAAACCAGGGAGCATGCTTATTCTCAAGTAAAAGAATGCTAACATGCTGATAAGTGTGTTAGCCTTGTTTCAATGCAATAAGTTGTGCTGGAATACACGAAGCCATATTTTTCCATTGCTGTTTATACTCATGTCCTGTTTTTTGCTAGCCCCGTGAGGTCTGTGTCTTGTCTTTCTCTGTCTTGCTACTTCTCAGTTAAGACCGTCGTCCCCTTTGTGTTTTAATTTCTCACGCTAGCTGCTTGTGCCAGTCTTATCAGTCACAAGTGCCCTTCAGTGAGCTGTACTGGCTTCTATTGAAGAGCCACAAAAAAGAAATACTCTTCACAGCAGATGGGGGGTGGTTATGAGGGTTGTGGCTGCTTGGCTCCTCTCTGCATTGCAGCTACTGAGAAGACTGCAAGACACAAACATTAGGATATTTAAAGCTGTTTCCACTTCCTGGGAGTTCCAGAAATGTGCAAGTGCACAGACAGATTGCAAACACGGCCAGCCGAAGGACAATTGTGGCGGGCAGACATAATTTTCCCCATGTCATTGTTACCTAAACATTGAAACCCTAAACACACATCTTGAAAGCAAGACAGTTAAAGCAGCAAATATATGCACATGAATCCATCTCTCTAAACAACAATCTGTGAACAAATCCCCTTTAAACCTTTTAAGAAATGTATAAACAGGAATAAGCATAAAATAATGACTGATTTTGAAATCTTTTTTACATAACATTAATAAACAAAGTGAGGATGTTCTGAGATGCCACAAGAAACTGTGCCTTAGTGCTTGCTTGAACTTTAAATGCTACTACATTAAATTTTCCCTAAATTGTTGTGAACATAAAATGTTTGTGTGTTTGAATAACTAAATAGTTGGAACCTATTAAAAACCCAACTTCATTGTGGTTTTACAAAGGTAGTTAGCAGTCTCGCAAACTGTATTGAATTTTTAGTTGCAGATAAACTGAGATTCTTGCATAGACGTATATGACATGTCACCCGCTGCTTTAACATCCTAGACAGTATAAAACATGGACCGAGCTTCTGGGTGGAAAAGTAAAGGTAATGTGGCTTAATTCTGTCTCTTGGTCACCAGGTAGTCGGGATGGCAAACGCATTTCCAGTCCTACGGAAGGCTATGGAAAATGGCTTGCTGTCGTGACCTATGTACACAATTTCATGCTACTGTATATTAATGGGCTCGGTCATTTATTTATCCATTTATATGCTGAATAATAAATCTTGATCATGCAGTATTTCAAAATGCATTCATTATCCAGGGCATCTTCATTGCCTAATGACATGTGATTGATAAGCAAGTAGATTCACAGTTAGACCCGCCCCTGCTCATCACATCTGGGTTTTTGTTTTTGTTTTGTTTTTTTCCTTAAACCAAGATGGCGATCATGAATACACCTTCTGAAGGCTTCAAAACAGAAATTGAGAAACCAGTGGATGATGTCACAGTAGCTACAGCTCTCTTTTATAGTGTCCATGCAACCTACATTTTTGTGTTATTATTTTAGTGTTTTTGTGTTAACACCTGCTGTGAATTCACTTACTTAAAACCTTCAGTGCTCAGCAAAACCTGGCTCTAAATTATTGTTGTTACTGTTAAGTGATCTGTATCGTTTCACACAGGAGGCCTTTTTCTCCCTTTGTAATGCCTGTGCCTTGATTTCTGTCTTCTGTTTATTCCTCTTTGATTTATTGCGTTTCCTTCTTTTTGCCGTCTGTCCCGTTTGGTTCTTTTGCCATCAGAATTATTGTCTGAAGGCAAAGAGAGAAGCCAAACGAAATTACTTTACCAAGTGGACCATCCCTGCCTTACTGTATTGGTCCATTTAATTGACCTTTGTTGTTATTAATATTTATTTTATTTTCAGTTGCTACAGACGGGACAGACGTGACCGGGGAGAGGGAGGGAAACAAAGACAGAGGGGGAAGAGGAATACTGATGAAGGGAAAAGAAAAGGGGGGGGGGCGGCAAAAAATACATATTTTATATATATATCACCTGGATCACCTGTTGAGAGGGGGGAAAAAGAGAGAACAAGCAAACAAAAACAGCAATATAATAAACACAACACCATCGTGATACTCTGTGTGTGTGTGTGTATATAGCAGTAAATATTAAATATTATTATGCAGAACATAAGATTTACAGCGCACAGTGTGCGTTGAGGTAGGAGCCAAAATGGGTGCAGTTTGTGTCTGTGAGCACCCGTGTGTACACCTGTGAGCATGACCGCGCTTGTATTTAAAGTTTTGTTGCATTTCCTTTGTTCTTTCCCCTCAGTTTGTGTTTCCAGTTTTAAATGGTCAAGTAAAGGAACCTTTCTGTGGATCTAGCAGCAGCAGGTTTTATAACCTGTCAAACCACATGATAAAGCCTGTAGGCCTGTGATGCATTGTTGTCTTCAAACTGTGCATGTTTTTCTGTTTTTGTAATTGGTACCCTGTCTTTTGTCTCAGCATCACATTAACTCACCTTAAGCAGGTCCACCTGGGTTTGACTCAGTGTATGAAAATCTGTTGGCATCACTTCCTGTGCACAGCATCTTAACAGGTTTTGAGTCGTAATTATAGGGAGAGCTTTTATGGCTTGTAAATATGCTGACTAGTAAAAAAAACTCATTAATGTGAGTTATCTGTATTTGCCATCTCTTTTGGGTTTTCCCTCACACAGAGAACCCACCTCTCACAAAGACAAAGGTTGGCCTTGACAGCAGGTTTTGCGATGGTCTCTTTCTGTCAGCTCACAAAGGAGCCTCTTTAGTTGTACTCATTACATCACCGTACTATCCTATTATAGCCTGTTTTCCTCTACAAAACAATCAGTTCAGTGTTATAACTCAGATCCGATGGCCATGGAGGCAGTGAAGTAGCACACAGTTGCTTGTTCTCATGAGCAATTCAGATTTGAATTAAAAAAATAAAAAGATGAAATCTCCTGTATTTTATCTTCAAGCACAGTGAATGGTACAGACTTGGGCCCAAGGTCAGGTTCCTGTTCAGCCTCCAGTGGTGCGGATGGTCAGGTGCCTTCAAGCTCCTGCAGCCCTGCTCTTGGTCATGTCGTCAACGGAGACTCCACAACCAACTCCACCCCTGTCCACCAACCCTCAGACAGTGATAATGAGAGTAGGATGGGTGAGTTTGCACATGCTGTAATGTCTACTTTACAGTACACATTACAAAACGTTGTTTTTTGTTTTGTTTTTAGTTTAGTTTTTTTTATTTTAGACAAAAAATAACTTAGATTTGGATAAGACTGAATATTATTAGAGCACCCTGGTAACATTTTTTTGTTATAGTGCCTTGGATGGTCTCAAACCACCTCAGGTTTATGCTCTCCATGGTCGATGTGAACCTAGTGAAGAGTAGAGAAGAGGAGTAATTACATTAAGGGAAGCCTTTAATCTCTGCTGCTCTCAGCACCTCTATCCAATCTCCTTGGAAAGAAAAGCGAAGTGAAAGCAGAGTGCACTTAAACTCGGAGGACAGGCCACATTGAGCTGAGGTTCATGACAGAATATAAATTTTTTAATGGCATTGCATATAAAGAACACACACACAGTTAGAGCAAATGGAAACTGGCAGTGTGGGGTTATCAGAATACCAAACTGGTACCTGGTAAGAGTTCCATAGGCTAACTTTGGTGCATGAAAAGTAGCTCAAGTAGACAGTTTTCACCTTCTAAAAATCTGGGTTCAATTAATAATCTTATCATTCATTTTGTGCTCAAAAATTCCAACGTAATAGATGTATTTACCTTCAGAGATCCTTGCCTATCCATGTTCTGTGGACATATGCAGACTCTTAGACTAAAAGTCAGTTGTTGCAGACAACGGCTTAAAAGACTGATTTATTTATTTATTTATTGAGGCATTGAGGCATTACTGACATCAATGGATTGAGTTGTACAAGTAAACAGCACTCCGGTCTTATTGTGACTTGCCTGCAGTCAATGGGGAGTCCTGTGATGCTGCTGAAGGGCAGTCATCTGCGACAAGAAGTGATGTGCTGCCCTCTGGAAGTGACCACGAGGACTGCATTCAGGATGCTACCCTGCCAGACTCTGACACAGCACCAAATAGCACATCTCAACCCCCGCCTGCTTCCACATCATCGTCAACCTCTTCTGTTGCTGCTAATTCTGCCACTGCCGTTGCTGCCTCCTCTTCTTCCTCCACATTCACCTCTCCAAACCAGGGGGTCACCACGTCCTCGTCGTCATCCTCCCCGGCGCCTGCTGAAACAAATGCTTCAGGAAGTGGAGGTGGTAGTAATAGTAGCAGTGCAACAGTAACTACAGATGGGGCCAAGCCCAGGCAGCAGGTCCCCAATACTGGAGCCTCAGATCCTCTTCCACCAGGGTAAAAAAAACCCCACAAAAACAACCCCTGCTGCTCATTTACTGATCAGTATTACTGTATTTATTTTGATTGATTTCTGTTTTCAAATTACCTAAACACCAGTGCACAGACAAATATGACAACAGTAGAGTGACGTTCACCAGAATTTTTCATCCTTTGTTTGTTGTTTAATTTTGAATCTTTTAGGTGGGAGCAGAGAAAAGACCCACACGGGAGAACGTACTATGTAGACCACAACACCAGGACGACTACCTGGGAAAGACCACAGCCGCTACCACCAGGGTGAGGGTCTCACCTTTGTCTTATGTTGTTGTCACACTTGGTGTGTTTAGTCTGTTTAAATCAAACATGAACACAATAAGCACTCAGGGGCAGACTGAAACAACAGTTCCAAATGAACTCCAGAGCAGTGCATTTACGTTGTGAGCATGATCCAACCATGATCCAAACCAACTACCAGATGCACGTTGCAAGTCTGGGCCAACAAAATTCCCTTAGACACGTATGCTTTGCATTCTGGGATCCACCAAAATATTATAGTGCAGGTCTATACGGGCTAGCAACTAGCTGTGAATTGAATGTAAATACTCCATGTTCTCCTATAGTCCAGAATACAGCACCTTCTTTCTATATTTACTTTTGTTGTTTGCAGGTGTAAGTAGTTATTTCAGTCTTTTTGTTTAATCACCTACATGTCAGTTTCTGGCATTGAAATGTACTTTCATGTGTATTTCTCTATTTTTACCATCCCATCTCATTCCTTCTACCAGTTGGGAACGTCGAGTGGATGACCGGGGTAGGATCTATTATGTGGACCACAACACCCGCACCACCACATGGCAGCGTCCCACTATGGAATCGGTGCGCAATTTTGAGCAGTGGCAGAGCCAGCGCAGCCAGCTGCAGGGAGCTATGCACCAGTTTAACCAGAGATACCTCTACTCTGTAAGACACATCACCACACTCGCTCTTCTGCCTAATTACTTGTGTTTTCATATTTATACATACAAATAAGTAACTTACATGCTGCCCATTTAATAGAGAGGTTCTAATACAATCTAAAATAGTGTTATTTTGATTGCATTATTATTAGTATGTAGACCAAGCCATATCCCTTTTTCTTTTAGAAGTCAAGGTCCTCATCAAAAAGAAGCCCTGAAGCCCTAATGACTGAAAAATTTTCACTCTTTTCACTTGTTTTTATAACAAGTGCCCTGTAAATAAACTCAGAGCAAAAACCACATTTTGCTGACTGAAAATGCTGCTATCTGCTAGGGCTGCACGATTAATCGTTAGAAAATCGCGATCTCGATTCATACTCATGTGCGATCTCATTTCCAAATGACAACGATTTAATTAAAAAATTTAAAAAAAAGAAAAAAAGACGACGATTGTACCGCATTTTGATCCGGGACGTA